GGTCCAGCGGCAGGTAATTCAGTCTGTACCCCGCAGGGTACAGACAAGGTCTCTCTCCCTCTCGCGAGCGCCGTTTTTTCAGAGCGTTGCCGTGGGTTACCATGGCAACGCTCTGATCATCTCGGAGCTCGCGAGAAGAGGAGAAAGGAAGCTGCTCGGCGTGCGCAGAGAGTGATCGGCTCACTGCCCGATCTCCTCTCCGGCCCATGATGGGATAGAACTCCATCTTGGGGCCGGTGCTGCTGCGCATGGGCCGGCAGGGGAGATCTCTTGATCTTTCCTACCGGCCTTGGTCCATGGCCATCGCGGCCCACCGGGCATTTGCCCGGTTTGCCCGATGGCCAGTCCGGGCCTGCCCTTAAGGACCAAACTTCTGGAATAAAAGGGAATCATGACATGTCACACATGTCGTGTGTCCTTAAAGGACCACTCTAGGCACCCAGACCACTTCAGCTTAATGAAGTGGTCTGGGTGCCAGATCCCTCTAGGATTAACCCTTTTTTTCATAAACATAGCAGTTTCAGAGAAACTGCTGTGTTTATAAATGGGTTAATCAATTCTCTAAAGCCTCTAGTAGCTGTCTCATTGAAAGCCGCTAGAGGCGTTTGCGTGCTTCTCACTGTGAAAATCACAGTGAGAAGACGCTAGCGTCCATTGGAAAGCTTTATAAATGCTTTCCTATGAGACTGGCTGAATGCGCGCGCAGCTCCTGCCGCGCATGCGCATTCAGCCGAAGAGGAGGATCGGAGGCGGAGAGGAGGTGGAGAGCTCCCCGCCCAGTGCTGGAAAAAAGGTAAGATTTAACCCTTTCCTCTCCCCAGAGCCCGGCTTGAAGGGGACCCTGAGGGTGGGGGCACGAGTATGTTTTCCTGGCACTATAGTGATCCTTTAAGGGGTTAAGGTACTTTTAGTATCTTGGTGGCTTATCTATGGAATATTACCCATTACCTCGTTGTCAGTTTCAGATTAAGGTACTAAGGTTTGTAATGCTTTATTAATGCGATCTTAATTTTATTTTTAAAGAAACACGCCACACTCCTCTGATCTCCCCTGCCAGCCTCGACACGAGTTCATAGCAGTTCACCAGCATTTGCCCTGACACCCAAAGAAAACACGCATTGTTCAAATGCATTAAAATGTATGCATCTTGTATCCTAGACATTCCATATAAGCCAGAATTATTTTGTGGTTATATGTTTTTGACGTTCCAGTTATTTTGTTTTATATGTACAGTCTGGAAACGGGTATTACATCTGTATGGTTGTTAACTGTTTTGTTTTGTTTTCTTTACTTATTTAAATTTTTTTGTATATTATATCATTGAAATATGTATTATATTTATTATTTTCCATTTTGTATTTGACATAACTTCACTTTGAATAAATATTCTTTATGAGTAAAATATTATTTTGTTTTCTTGGAAATGGTTTTAAAGGAATTCCATAACTTACAGATGAAGCACATCTCAGTCTCATAAAATGTCCATCATATTTTGCAAGTGGATCAACTGACTGTTCATGCATAGCAGATTGTATGTGTAAGTATATATATATATATATACACACTGTCTTACTTATTTTATCCATCTACTGTATTCCTCTTTACCTCCATTCCATACCCCACTCTTGCTTTGTTATATGTTTGTTAACCCCTTCAGGACCGAGGACGGTTCAGGACCGTCATCGGCATTTATGCATTGCCGACCGGTGCCAGTCCTGAACCGTCCTAATGTTCCAATGTACTTACCCGATCGGCGTTGTTCCCCCGGCGGCGATCGGCGGTGCTTCTGTTGTGGGGAGACTGCCTGCAGCCCAGACAGTCTCTCCATGGCGGATTAGGACCCATGGGGCCCTGTGATCGCTCAACAGAGCGATCACATGGTCACAATAGGTGTCCATGTGTCTGCCTGCAGGGGGACTCCCTGTGCTGACAGGCAGTCTCCCTGCTAGTGTAAAATAAAAAAAAACAATAAAGTTAATGTTAATAAAAATATAAATTATATATGTGTATAAATATATATGATATAAAGACATATATTATATATATATATATATCATATATATATATAATGTCATACTAAGTGTATTTTTATATTAATATGTACATATATTAATATAAAAATACACTTATAATTAAATTACACACGTATATATATATAATATATATAATAACTATATATACTGTATATAAATATTATTATAAAATACAAATAATAAGTAATTTAAATTAAATAAAAACGTAAAAATAATAAAAATTTTAAAAAATATATATATATCTATATGCAATTTTATTCTAACTGTATTTTGATAGTAATATATATATATATATATATATATATATATATATATTTATATCAAAATACACTTAGAATGAAATTTACCCTCACGGTTTTTCTTACTTACCTGGTCGGGGGACTCACCTGGGATTCCAGGGAGTCCCCCGTGCTCTCCTCCTCCTTATAGGAGAGTGAGGTCCTTGCGAGGACCTCACAATCACATGGCCGGGTTAGCTGGCTGCACCATTGCCAGCAGGGGGCCCGCCTGTAATGACAGTTAGTCCCCCTGCTGGCTGAATTCAAATAAAATAAAGTCAAAATCAGTGTAAAAAAAATAATTATATACTTAGATCACATATATATATTATATATATATATATATATATATATATGATCTAAGTATATATATATATATATATATATATATACACACACATATACATACACACCCATACACTGTATAGGTGTATTTTACTATTAATAGATATAAAATTATATATATCTATTAATATCAAATTACACGTAGACTGATACTGATTAAATATATATATAATTATTGTTTTATATATATATATATATATATATATATCTATATATAATATAAAAAAAAATATGTACATTCGTTCTTTTAGCCGAAGAATGAAAATTACCCCTATGATGGCATACCATTTGCAATAGTAGACAACCCAAGGTATTGCAAATGGGGTATGTCCAGTCTTTTTTAGTAGCCATTTGGTCACAAACACTGGCCAAAGTTAGCGTTAGTATTTGTTTGTGTGTGAAAAATGCCAATTTTGGCCAGTGTTTGTGACTAAGTGGCTACTAAAAAAGACTGGACATACCCTGTTTGCAATACCTTGGGTTGTCTACTATTGCAAATGGTATGCCATCATAGGGGTAATTTTCATTCTTGGGCTACCATAGGGTCTCAAAGGCAACCTAACCAATCTGAATTGGTGAATTTTAATGTGAAAAAAATTTAAACGCAAGCCTTATATTTGACGCTGTAACTTTTGAAAACACCATAAAACCTATACATGAGGGGTACTGTTGTACTCGGTAGACTTCACTGAACACAAATATTTGTGTTTCAAAACAGTAAAAAGTATCGCAGCAATAATATCGTCCGTGTAAGTGCTGTTTGTGCGTGAAAAATGCAAAAAAACTTCACTTTTACTGGCGATATCATTGTTGTAATACATTTTACTGTTTTGAAACACTAATATTTGTGTTCAGCGAAGTCTCCCGAGTAGAACAGTACCCCCCATGTACAGGTTTTATGGTGTCTTGGAAAGTTATAGGGTTAAATATAGTGCTAGCAAATTAAATTCCCTTTACTTTTGGCATGGGTTGTCAGGCAGGTCCCGCTAATTGTAATTAATTAAGATACCTAATTATGTAAAAATATTACATAAATATATATGTAGAATTAATATATGTATATATATATATACGTATGTGTATGTATATGTATATATCTATATAATTTTTTTTTAATATTTTTATTTATATATATAGTGATATATATGTATATATTTATGTATATAGATATATATTATTTCGTTCTATGTGTATTTTGATATATATATTAATTTCACAATACAGTTAGAACGAAATAACACACATCTATATATTTTGTAATTATTAATTTTTATTTTTTTAATTGTATTTTTTAACGTATTTACATATATTTTTTAATATTATATATAAATATATATATAACAATAATTATATATATATTTAATCAGTATCAGTCTACGTGTAATTTGATATTAATATATACATATAATTATATATATATATTAATAGTAAAATACACCTAGACAGTGTACGTGTGTGTATGTATATGTGTATATATATATATATATATATATATATATATATATATATATATATACTTAGATCATATATATAATAAATATATATATATATATGATCTAAGTATATAATTTTTTTTTACACTTTTTTTTACACTTTTAATTTTATTTCATTTGATTTCCAGCCAGCAGGGGGACCACCTGTCATTACAGGCAGCCCCCCTGCTGGCAATGCTGCAGCCAGCTATCCCGGCCATGTGATTGTGAGGTCCTCGCAAGGACCTCACTCTCACATGGCCGGGGGGCTTCCAGGGGGTCGGACATGCCGCGGGGGGCTCTCTGGGAGTCCCCCCAACCGCGATCGCTGGCGACCGGGTAAGTAGGAAAAGACCGAGGGTGTACTATTACGCCCGGCGTCGTTTAGAGACGCTTAGAATAGGGCGTAACAGTACACCCTCCGGTCTTAAGGGGTTAAGTAGCAGTTGAAAAGCTTTGTTAGTTTTAAAAAAACCTGACTTAACTTTTTTAGCTGGCTCTTAGATTTAAAGCAAATTTGTCAAGCCCTGCCATTACGCATATCTTCAGCTCTCTGTCTGAAGCGTGGCCTGTGAACTGGAAGGGATAGGCAACTCCTCTTCAGATTACATATTAATCCAGCAGTATTATAAGTACTTTACAAAATAAAAAGTGTACCTAACACCTTAAGAAACTAAACACCTAAATATCCAGGGTTGAATAACCCACAGGAATAAAGGAAACGGTGTGAGTAAAGAGCCGTCCAACCACCACTAAAGCTGGACACCAATTCCGAGTAAGGGAAGGATGGGGGAGGCCAAAGCAAAATTGCGGGAAAGCTAGCCGCTGCAAGGGCCGAATGATAACCAAAAAGATTGCTTCTGCAGCAAAGTATGAAGGAATGTGTCACAAATGCAAAAAGAATGAATGTACCTAAGCACACGTTCGGGTCAGCTGGACACTACGAGATCAGTAGAACAGCCAACGTGTGTAAGCGTGTGTTTGAGAAAAAACGAACGCAATGTGAACAGCTGCTCGTCAAGAAGCCCTGCAGAATGCGTATCTGCGGTAAAGCGGATGCACATTCGTTAGGTAAAGCTGAAAATCACCTCCACGGATTGGAAAGCGCCAGGCTGCAGTGGGGACAGCAGGGAGTGCTGAAGTGGCCCAGGACCCAAATGATTCAGGGATGTGAGGTAGTAATAACCCAAAAGCTGGGGATCCAAATAAGTAAAGTTAAATAATCACAATAAAAGGAAAGAATGGCAAATAAATCCAATAAGATGCATATAAAACAAGCACAAAGAAATAAACATAAAATATAAATAAAAGACCAGCACCCAAATACCAACCACAATATCACAATAATAGAAATTCCACAGTTAGGAACTGTGGGACTAGAGTAATGCTTAAAGAGGAAAGAGGAAGTGATTACTTAAAGGGATGCTCTAGTGCCCAAATAAAAATAAATACAAATCACTGTTTAGTAGATATATACTAAATGAGAATTTACCTGCATTTAATTATGCATATTGGAGGTTAATCTGAAAACAGTTTGCAAAACCTGCAGCTCTTTTGTCTGCTGCCTTTGCAAGTACTCCCCTTCTGACCCCGCCCAGACTTTCTGTGTCTGTCCAATCACAGACTTCCCAATGCAGCTCAAGGCAGGTGCTTTGGCCAATTCCCTGCTGATCGAGTTTAGCTTCAGTGAGCTAACCAAACCAGGAAGTAACACCATCTGTTGTCTGCTTGAAAGCCAATGAGGTGTAACCAGGTCAATTTATAAAAGTGTCAATTTCTATTGAAATCTGCCTTTGTTGCAAAATGAAAAAAGAGGGGGCACACTCTTCACACCTAAAGCGTTTCACCAAGCTAAAGGATAAGGATGTCGTTTATTGGCTGATCGTTACTAGGCAGATATTGTTGCTGTAATGTTCATGCTTGGTTCTTTTTTTTTATCTTATATAAAAATTACTGTTTATATAGTTTAACTCTTTCAATGCCAGGAAAATCAAGCATCATGAAGTCCCCTCTCTTAGAACCCTATGTTGTAGGAATAAGAGATTTGATTTTGTGAAAGTGTTGCAGACGCTCTTCTTTTTTAAGAGCTGGCAATGAAGCTGTGAGCATGGGAACTTACAGCTAGATTTAGGAGACCAGATTGCATGTGTGTATGATAATAGTTCTTTTTCCTGGGAGCAAAGAATTCACATGACCCAGAGGGACCACCATTATTTATCTTCTTTTTTTTTGTTCCGATCATAATGTCCATTGAAATATAGCGGAAGTAGAAGGCATTATTCTGGCATGTTTTAAGATAAATATGAAAATAAATGATGAAATATGAAAAAGATTGTGAATGAGTCAGCATAAAATCGATGGAGTGTAATATGTATAAGGCTTATTGCTAGCATTTAGTGAGACTATTACACTTTTTATATAATCACGCTGGTCTGCTCATTTTTCATGTTGAATACTTTTGTGCAGTTTTAAAACAAAGAATTGAAATCCTTATTCTCGTGTCAGAGCAAATGACATGATTTTTGAGAGTTGTATGAAAACATAGGTGTTAACACTGAAAAAAAGAATACAAATTATTATTAATATTATTATTATTGATATCATTATTAAATATAAATGACAATTGTGCCTAATTGTGGACAGACTATTTGGAGGTTTTTCCCAGGCATCTAATGTGATTATTTTATTTCTCATTCAAACCAGGAAATGGGGGAGAGTCTAGTCATTTCATTAGATTTCATTGGATTTTAGGAGTGTGCATTATCGAATA